TCAAAAAATCAAGGTCAATGTGAATGGGAATATAATATTTTCTTCAGAAGAAAGTGTCCTCTCCGGAGTTCCACAGGGAAGTATCATTGGACCTCTTTTATTTTTGATTTTCGTCAATGATTTAAATCAACTGATAAACGATAGCTCAACATGTTTGGTTCGGAATCCATTAGATAATTTTTCTGATGCAATAAGCGTTCGAGGAGAAAAGTTGGAACAGCAATCAGGCTGTTACGTCACTCAATTTGCTGACGATAACCACAGTTGCACTAAATTCCAATATTTTTTTTCATGTAGCACAAAAAGCAAACTGTCTTGTAAAAAGTATGACTCATTACTGTTTAAATAATGCCCTAATCTTAAATGGATCAAAGACCAATATGGTAACCTTTTCACCTTCTACTATGCAGATGAGTCCATTAGTAAAGCTGGATAATGGGTCTGTGGTAAATAGCCACTCCACCAAGTTGTTAGGTGTTTACCTGGATTCAAATTTGTCTTGAGAGTTCTCACGTTGATTCTGTAGTGGGAAGATTGTCTGTACAGATATGTTCTAAGGCAACTTAGGAATTTTGTCTCCCTAGATATCTTGAAACTTTACTATTTTGCTCATGTACAGTCAATTTTGCAATATTGCTTAGTTTGTTGGGGAAATTGCTCGCGAATTAATGAGGTGCTTGTTCTTAAAAAAAAAATTATTCATACCATGACGTTTAGAAGGCGCTTGGATTCCTGTAGACCAGTTTTTAAACAATTAAATATTTTAACTGTAATTTCTCTGTATATTTTCAGTTGTGTTGTTTATGTAAAGTCACATAGATGTAATTTTTGTTTACAGAAATGATGTTTCCTTAACGAGTGGCTACAATTTTCGTTACAGAAATGATTTGGTGACCTCTGCTCGTCACTTGACTGTTGTGGCCAAGGGTCCTTACCCAACATGCGTTAGTTTGTATAATAAATTATCTAATTATGTTAAAGAGTCAAATATTTATGTATTTAAGAGAACAGTTAAGGTCTTACTTCTGGCAAATACTTTCTGTTCGTCAGAGGAATACTTGCAGGCATCTTTTTAACAATTTGTATGTTTTTGTGTATATTTTATGTTTTATGTGCTTATAGTTTTAACTTTTTTTTTACTACGTATGTACCTATAGTTTTTTAGATTGTATTTTGACGCATTTCAATACTTGTAAAAGTCAGATGAAATAAAGAATATTGATTGATTGATTGATAACTGTGAACACATGTTAAAAATCTGGTTTAATTTTAAATAAAAAAAGAACAAGGTTAACAAGAAATAAAGCAGAAAAACTTATGTTTTTAAATGTCAATTTAGACGATTCGCGATTTAATAATAACGTGTAATTTAAATGTAAGTACGATTTACTATTTGTATTGTTTAGTTTATTTTTCAAGTTATAATAAATATATCATTAGTTTCTTTCGCTTCAATAAATATACACATAAACGATAATAGCCATTATGTATGTTTATGTAGGTACTCTCTTACTTGAAACTACTTTTATACAATCATAGTTATTTGTTTACGAAAATCGGTTTAGTTGCGTTAAGAGCGTAGGTGGAAAATTTCAGGCCAATGCTTTTTAAATGCATTCATTTTTTTTAATCCTGAGAAAACTAGCAAATATTTTTGAAAAATTTAAATATAGAATGAAAGATTACATTATTAACGAGGGCCGAAAGTTCCTTAGAATAAACAAAAAGTTTTTTGAATGAGATATTTGAAATTAAAAATCATAACTAAATTTTCTCTTCTTTTCATCCCAGTAACTTATTAAAATAAACATTATAGAAGTTTTCAGGTACTTTCGGCTCTCGGTAATAAGGTATTGTTTCATTCTGTTTCAAATTTTTCAAAAATATTTATTAGTTTTCTCAGGATTCGAAAAAAATTAATGCATTTAAAAAGCATTGGCCCGAAATTTTGTGCCTACGCTCTTAACGGTAAAAACGTCAACAAGTTACAACTACCCACCTCTAATACTTGTTACCCTACTTTGATTCGGTGTTTTGACCAGACAGACGTTGCCAAATAATTGTCTATGAAGATAATGTGGCGATATTGTATGCAATTTATTATTTCATATTGGGAATAAGGCACAATGTGACTTTAAAATACGCTTATTTTGATGTTTAGATTTTTAATTCGGAAATCTTACTTATAATACGAAACACTAATAAATTTTATTTATATAAAACAATTTCAGTGGAAATCAAAATGTTATATTACACTTATTGTAAAATAAACTTGTGGCATATTCCCAATAAAAAACAGTAAGCTGCCATTTAAATCCATTTCGCCCAAATTTGATTATCTTAGAACATTGTTCAAATGATACAAAGACAACAGATCAAATAAAACCAATAAGTTTAGCAACGTTGATCTTCTCCTTTTTATTATATCCACGCATACATGTTCGGCGATATAAAGGGCGGACCTAATGTACCTCTCTCTTTTTAAACAGATGTTTCTCACTCCATCTCACGTAAGGTCCATACCGACCATAAACATTTTCCTACACTATATATATATATATATATATATATATATATATATATATATATATATATATATATATATATATATATATATTCAAGACAGTAATTAATATTTTAATATTTACAATATATCACAAAATGTCAGTGCAACTTACTAGTAGTTGAGATTATTTATATAAAGTTATGACACTCAACATTAATAACACACATATAAAATAATGGAAAAAATACATTTTATAATTTAGTTAAAGATAGTAAAACTTCATTTGTGACATCTTTTAACGGTGTGTTTTAACTAATCCATAGAGAACGGAAAGAAAAAAAACCAAAAATAGTATGATTAAAATGTAATTAGGTAGCCTTCAAATATAAGTTTTCGGAAAGAATCGCGATGAGAATTTGAAACTCTACCTTTCGGCACCCATTTTGGAGCCATTATAAAGAGGGGTCCGTTCAGGGTCTCAATCTGCCTATTCCCCTCACTTGTGACGTACTAGTATCGCGTTCTGTATAAATACAAGAACCGTCAAACGACACAAATGTCTCAATCTGAATCTGCCAACTCGTCAGTCAGGTCTTACCTTATATCGCTGCTTTTATTCTCTCAGTATGCGCGGGAACGGTCTGAGCAAGATGGATTGGGGCGGTCCCTGAAGCAGTAGTTGCCATGTTGCCGGCAGTTTAGAGTCATCACGCATGTTTAGGCTGTTAGGTAGGCCGTTCAATTTCGATGGCTTCACGAATGAATCTCGATTTTAAGGAGCGGATGGGAGCTTTTAAGATGGTTTTGATGTTTAGAGGGTTAACTGATCTTGTCATTAACACCTTTAATAAAAGATAGAAAGATTGTGTTGATCAGGCGGCAAGGTTTTTTGCGAGTGTTTGCTTTATGGAATTGATTTAGGATGATCTATGATTATTATCGCTGAGTCTTATGGAAAGGGTAACAAGAGTGTTAACTAAATTGAGTTGGCTGATAATGTGACTGGGCATTGAGATAACGGTGTGTATGAATGGGTTTCCGGTACACGGAATAGAAAAAACGGTAAGGTGGGTGTTTCTAGATGCTTCAGACTCAACTTCCATCATAAACTGAATACTGGGATGTATTCTATTCAGGTGGGAGAGGAAGAGATCTAATGTGTCTCTACCATGCGGTCAAATGACAAAAGTGTCAACGTACCGTAACCAGCAGGGGGGTTTGAGATTTGATGAGGACAGGGCTATTGTTTCGAAATGTTTCATATAGGTATTAGCTATTAGAAGAGAGGGAGGAAACCCATTTTGGTACCTTTGAATTTTTCATTGGGGATTTGATGTTTAAGAGTCCAAGATGGAAATGGTTTCATAAATAGGAATGTTTGGTGAATAAAGAAACAATGTTAAAAGTAACCAGTATATCTGAGGGTGAAAAAGAAATGTTTTTCAGATCAATGAAATGAAAAGAGTTTTTGACAAGGGACGAGGCCTTTTCGGCTAATGGTTGTAAGGATAAAGCAGGATGTTTTGTCAATTTCTAAGTGGGGCAGTTTTATCCACTGAAGACGGCTTTTAGGAGGACATTAAGCTTATGGATTTGGAAGGCCGTATATCCTTGGAATTCGGGATAATTTTTCTCTTGTTATAAGAGATTTTTTAATGACTGGAGGTAGGGTAGACTTGTAGATGATAGATTTGGTCGTTTTTTCTAGATACGTGGGATCGTTTGGGACGCCTTTGTATTCTATGGAATTGAGAAGTTCGAACTTTTTTCGAAATAATTAGAAGAGTTGAGAATGACTGTAGTATTACGTGGTGGGATCGTTTGGGACGCGTTTGTATTCTGTGGAATTGAGAAGTTTTAACTTTTTTTGAAATAATTAGAAAAGTTAAGAATGACGGTGGCATTACTTTTGTCGGCCGGAAGGATGACAATGTCAGGGTTGTTATATAGTTCTTTGAGGGCACGTCTTTTTGAAAGAGTGATATTTTGACGGTGGGGTTTGGAAGTACGGAGAATTCTGGCGACATCTTGTCTGACAAGGAAGATGAGAAATAATTTATTCAGTTTGACAAATAATGTTCTCAGTTGGGATTGAGAAAATTGAAGCCTTTTGATAGAGCTTTGATAGCTGAATCGGATATGTGAATACCTGAGAAATTGGGCACACAGTAGAAGGTTGGTCCTATTTTCGTTGAAGGTTGGTCCTATTTGCGTTTCTGGGTTTGGGTTTTGTTATCAGAAATGTGTGCTTTTTGGTGAGAAAGTCGATCGAAAGTATAAGTTATATTGCAATTTAAAATGACTATTTTTGAAGTCTTTCCATACAATTATCTTTTACACAAATCTTCTCCTGATAATAAATAACAAACAACAACAAAAATTATCTAATTTGATGCAGGCGTTCTGAAGTGATGTGATGCCCGTACAAACATTTCGGCGATTAGTTTAATATAGAATATAGATTACCCAAATAAAATTTCTAAAATATACTTGCCTCGTCAAAAATGGTTTCGATCTCATTAAAAAGACTTTTTGACCGCAACGCCTTAACGTCAGTCTGTTTAAAGTTAATGCCTTGGTGGTCAAGACTCTTTAAATAGTATTTTTCATTTTGTTCCCTCCAAACTTTATTAAAGCCTTTTTGTGCTTCCCGCCATTCTTCTTCTTTAGCTTTAAGTCTTCGCAGCACCACAGGCACAGCTACGGCAGGATTTCGCTTTAAACCATCAATTATGTCCTGTGCTTTATCCCCATATATTCTATAACAATAATTATTATAAATAATTAAACTTAAAATTAGCAAAATAAAGTTAGAACAAATCTTAATTTTTTTCAAAAACGTCAATAAATTGTCAAAGTTGAAGCACGCTTTTTGAAGTTTCTTGAGAATTTTTAGAGATTTAAATAGTATTAAATACAGTTCCGTAGTAGTATTCATATAAATCAGTGCCTTCGGTACAGCGATAATCGCTACTCCAGTAAATCGCCTATTGTTTGAGTTTAATTTAATTTATATTGTGCCACAAATTGAGAAATCCACTCACAAAACCAGACATATCTGGAAATATATTCGACAATCAAAGTAATTACGAAATGGATTATTCTGTAAGTATGCACTACAATTCCAATCAATTTGATGAATAATCCAAATACAACAAATCTGAATGTTTACAATGAAACAACAAATGGCAACAAAACAGGTAAGGCAAGCGTTTTTATTCAATAGTAATGACCTAGGCCAGTATCATGTATATATCAGGGGTATAGTATAAAAAATGGCTATGTCCATAATTTTTAGAAATTGACATTTTGAAGGCAACATTTTCATTTTGAGACAGCCTATTACCTAAAGAAATAGTTTGGGATTAAATTTAGCTTAGTCCAGAAATATTTTGATTAAAAAAAATTGGTTAGAAACAAACTTGGTTACGTCCACATAAACTCAGTATCAAACATAGCTACGCGCACGCCAGCCAATAGGAGCTCTTCATTCGAACCAAATCTGTAATGGCCGCTAATATAATTTATGTGTTGTTACGGTGTCAGTTTTTCGCATTTTAAATAAGAATTCCTGTGATTTCAAGTAAAATCTATAGTTTTTTGTCAAGATGGATGTTTTTTCTATGCCCGTTAATCAAAACCAGGCACGAAAACGGATTGCACAGCCACAAAACTGGAAGGCTAACAAGGCGAAAAAAAGAGGTAAGTTCGTTCTTTTGCCAGGCCCGTACCGCAGGTCAGATTTAGGTATAGTCGAACCCCTATATTGAAATAGCCATCGTGCCAAGCAAAAGTATTCCTATAATCGGGATTTTCTAACAACCGACCATTGGTGGCTAGTAGAATCGTTTCGGGACCTCAAATTTCTATTCCTTAAACCAGGATATTCCTAAATAACCAGTAATCTTCTTCTAATAAGCGGGTTCGACTGTATAGTCTAGTGATGGGTATAATTTCTAAAGCCACGTATCCATTTCGCGAGGCTACCACGCGCGTCATATTCGTTGTCGTTACCGCCGAAAGTGGACACCACACTGTTACGCGAGGCAAAGCCATAAAGCGTTTGCAAAACTGTTATAATTATTGAACGTGAGCTAGGCCGCGCGCGCCAGCCTCGTGAAATGGATACGTGGCTTTAGAATGGAGAATTTTTCGAGTAATACTGAGAACCCTATTCGCTTTTAATGCTGATTAAAAATAAATACTGTTTTATATTCATAAATGATTCCTGATTTGTTCCTGAAGTACCGAGAACCAAGAACCTTATTCGCTTTTAAAGTTGATTAAAAAATAAATACTGTTTTAAATTCATCAATAATTCCTGATTTGTTTTTAATGTTTACATTCGTTAATGGCTCTCACACTCACTGAAATGTGTTTACAGAAATGTGATATTTTCTGAATTTGATAATATTGAGAATAAGCACATTTTCTTTGTTGAATGAGGAATCCTATTAAAAAAATTAGTATCAGTTGTGCAGTTGTATTGCGTTTTTTTTGTATCCCAAAAAATATTCATTACGTTAGTTTATTATATTCTTTGACCTCGAAAAAGATTTGTTTATAAAACTAACTTATCCGCTTATTATTGTTCTAAAGCTATTTCTATATATCCGCTTATATTGGTAATAATCGGCAAACGCATTTAAAACTAGCTACTGACATCAGAGTACCAGAACACCGAGACCGAATACCTTAATAATATTATAGCGACGGCTTCCCCAGTCAGTATATTTTGTTTGATTTAAGTGTTTAAGATATCTTGAGAACTTTCAGGAATCGAATACTCGTCGATTCTTGGTATTTGAGAACCCCATCACCAGAATAATATATGACTAATATCGTTGGATGTTTGGATGAGCTCTTTTAGTTTGCGACTAATGCTACCATGGGGCTAAAAACAATTTTGTATCTTTTATACTTTTTGTTTTAGGTATTCTGCAAAGAGTTTGCCAACAGTACCACGTTGTGAACATAAAACCAAAGTCTTTGAGTGCATTAAAGTGACGGGTAAAATATTACGACAATTTCATACGGCATTTTATAAAAATCCTGTCAAATCGGATCAAGATGCAATCATATTATAATGCTGTCAAGCAGTACCTATTAAGAGAACACGACCAAGGACCTTAAGATTGGATCCTACGACTGGAGATCAGACTTCCCTAAAAGCAACCAAACAGTGCACCATAAAATACCATATTAAAGTCGATAAACAATCTATTAGTGTTTGTCAGAAGATGTTTTTAGCAGCGCTGTGCTTGAAAAAAAGGACGTGTCTCAAATTTGGTTCAAAAGTCTTTCGTCAGTGGAGAGTTTCCAGGAGAAAAAAGAGGAGGAGACCGTAAAGCCAACCTATTCAAGGATAAAAAGGCATCAGTACGTGCATTTATTCACAAACTTCAGTGTTCAGAACCACATTATTGTCGAAGCCAAAGTTCAATCCGGAAATATTTGCCAAGTGATCTAAATATCCGAAAACTGTACAAACTGTACAAAAATGAATGTTCAGCACCGGCAAGAGAATCTTACTTCAGACATATTTTCAACACCAAATACAATTTAGGATTTGGCAGTCCGAATACAGATATGTGCTCAACATGTCTGCAACTACTAGAAAAAATAAAAACAGAGAAAGATGAAAGGAAAAAGGAACAGTTCAGAGTAGAAAAAAGAGTTCATAGCTTGAGGACAAAAGCTTTCTATTCGCTGCTCAAGACAGAAGAAGAGGGTTTGAAAATAATTTCTTATGATTGCCAAAAAAACATGAATCTTCTTAAAGTACCAGACAAATCGTGTTATTATAGCAGGCAATTATATCTTTTTAATTTCACCATTGTGGAAGGAACTTCAAAGACACCACTTAATAAAAACAACGTTTTCGCAAATGTCTGGACAGAGAACACTTTCTCAAAAAATTCTAATACAATAGCATCTGCAGTGTATAACCACCTAAACAAGATGGATATTACCAATATAACTACCATTAGACTGATCTCAGACAGCTGCGGAGGTCAGAATAAAAATTCCACCATAATCACAATGTGTTGCAAATGGTTGTTGGAACATCCTTCTATTAAAACAGAAAACTGGTGTTTCCAGTAACTGGCCATTCCTATCTTCCAGCAGATAGAGTGTTCGGAAACAGTGAAAAGGAATTTCGTAAAATGGACACAATACTAAGCCCGAATCAGTACATCGATATCATTTCACAGCATGCAACTATTGTAAAAGTAGGCGAAGATTTTATTGTATATGATTTCAAAAAGGAAGCTGAAACAATACTGAAACCCCCCAGACAGTGGAAAGTACAGTTTGCGCAGTGTAAAAGATTCTATTTAAAACGATCGAAGCGGATCGGAAATGTGTTGGTTCAGTTGGAGAGATTTTACAGGAATCAATCGGGAAAATATGAAAATGTTTGTCGGAAATCTAAAATTATGAGTATGATTGCTCCTAAAAAAATAATACAACACATACCTGTAAAGGCATTAAAAGTAAGGGACGTTAAAAATCTGCTATCAAAACATTTTGGAGACGACTGGCAAGGCCTGGAACAATTAAGTTTCTAAGTATAGATGCCATCGGCCGAAATAAAATTAGAGTCAAATGCAAAAACCATAAAACTGCAAATAATCTCATTAAAAACAAAACTCTAGAAATATTTAGTTTAAATAATTTAGATATGTATATTCCAAAATTTATTTTACACAGACGAGGAATTATTAGGGATATAGACACAGATTTATAGGAAAAGTATATAAAAAATAGAATAAAACAATATAATAGTAATTGCATATTTGCATAAAACATTGTCAAATATGTACCTAAACATTAGAAAAAATATAGTTCAGAATGTAACAGGATTGAATAAATTTTCTGATAAAACAGGGAGTGACCATAGATTAATTAGAGCGAAAACCACTTTTAACTTTAAAGTCGAAAGAACAAAAATTATCGTCAACAAGAATAGTGGAATATTAATGTTCCCAGAAGATGTAACACTTTATGAAGAAAACATTAAGACTAGTTTGGCTATACATGACTTACGAGAATATCAGCATCAATGAAATGAACAATATTACTCAAACCTTGAAAGAAACTGAGAAGAAATACTGTCCTCGCGCCGAAAACAAAAACAAAAAATTAAGCCACAGCACAACACAAGAGAAAATAATGATCTTAACAAAAATTAACTGAGAATTTTGAACAAGAAAATCAGGTTAGAAAGGATCAGAGACGATGCAATACGATAGAACTAACTAGAATAATAGAAGAAAACAAAAGCTTGAAAGTACAGAACATGTCCATTGAAAGAAAAACATCCATACATTAAGAAATGAACAGGGACAAATCATTGAGGATCGAGATCTAATTATGAACACTGTGGAGAGTTTTCATAGCTAATTATACAAAGAACAGAAATGTATCCGGAGTGGATCATTACTAAAGATAATTATTCATGGTTCTGAAATTATTCGAAGGTCAGCGCATGAAATAAAAAACAGTAAGTCCCCGGAGGCGATGAAATAGTGGTATATGCCTTAAAAGTGACTGGAAAAGATTATGGCAGGTCCTTGCCAAACTATTCACTAGATGTCTACAGGAAGCAGTAACACAAACTCAGTGGCATAACGCAGAAATTATCGTAATTCATAAAAAAGGCGATGCTACCGAAACTTTCGCGACCTGAGGTTTGCAGATGATATTGTGCTAAATAGCTGATACGATAGATGAGCCCAAAGAACTTTTAAATCAG